AATGTAGTTTCTGTCTTCATCTTTCTATTATAACTACTCTCTTTGAAATCACCAGTGCCATTTAATGGAGTCCTGGGTTGTGCAAATGGTTAAGCACTCAGCTACTCGCTGAAAGGTTGATGATTCAAATCCATTCAAAAGTACCTCAGAAGAAAGGCCTGGTGATCTACTTCTAAAAGATAGTAGGCATTGGAGACCCTATGGAGAACAGTTCTACTCTGATACACATGGGTTCACCATGAGGTGGAATCAATTCCATGGCAACTGGTTTGGTTTGGGTTTTTTTTATGATATTTAATTACTAAATTTAATTGCTCATTCTCACGTTATAAAATATGTTATGCCAGTTTCCATAGTCTCCTTGTAATTCTTCCACCTTGGTGGTCCCTAATGCAGTGCCCTCCTATTTTCCTTTCCCTTCTTTAACTATTACCTTTATTCCTTCACTGGCTTTTCCTCCTCCCACCACTCTCGAATTTTCCATATTGCCCTTGATTCTTCACAGCTTTTTCCCTTTCTCCATTGGCAAATTTAGCCACCTTTATAGCTTCAATTATCCCCTCTGTAGACCATCCATACTACTTGTCTAGAGTTTTTCAGGACCTACTTCCAACCTACCCCTTCTTCAAGTCATCCCACAAACTGATGCCAATCCATTCTTCCTAAGACAGAGAGCTCTGAAAAATTACCCTGTTTTACTGCAGAAACATCTGGAAGATCTCTAAATATTTTAGACTTTCATTCAGACCTTGACTATCTGCTTCCAACCTTACATCCTACTGTACTTGCTCATGCATTTTGTTCTCCAGGTACTCTGGACAACTTGTCATTCCTGACCACTGCCTGGAAAATCTTGTCTCCTAGGAAGCCTTCCCATTCCTGCCCGTCAAAATCCAACTATCCTTCAAGAATCATTCCAATGATTTCTTTTTGTGAAGCCTCCTATTGGAAATAATTTTTTCCATGTTTTTACTTCTATTGTATTTTGAGTGTTATATAGCATTTAACATACCATACAAATATTTATTTAGTTACCTTGTCTTGCTTATTTTTTGGCAAGCTCCTTGAGGGTGGGAACCATTGCATATTTCCCTCCTCTCTCCCACAGGGCCTAAGAGAACTATAGTTATACTAGATAGTCATTGTGCTACCTTTCTATTTATTTGATTTGCTTTTTGCTATGATTTTTCTTCTTCACATGTATGTATTTTCTGTCCTCTTTCATAGAGTCGTCCTCCACTGTATGACTTAACTACCATGAAAGTGCCTACTGCTATCTGGGCTGGTGGACATGATGTACTTGTAACACCCAAGGATGTGGACAGGATACTCCCTCAAATCAGAAATCTCAGTTACTTCAAACTATTGCCAGATTGGAACCACTTTGATTTCATCTGGGGCCTTGACGCCAGTCAACGGGTATACAGTAAAATCATAGCTTTGATGAAGGAATATCCCTAAATGCAATATATTTACTTTTCAGTTGGAAGATGCTTCCAAGCCCTCAAGAGACTTCAAGGAAAATACTCATCAGTGAGGGTGCTCCCAGCGCCTTGCCATCCAAAGTAGGAATTATTTAAACAATGGTCCTCTTTCTTCAAAGAATCTCCGTATCTGAAATCACAGACTCTTATCCCCTTAGGCAGGGGTAAGCACTTTTTTTTTTAATCCAAATTGAGTAAACTTTGCTTTGACAAATGTACAATTGAAGGAGTAGTTAAAAGAGGGCTTTTTCTTTCCTATTTCAAGTATAATACCAACATATTATCAGTCACTTCATGTAAGTAATGAGGAGCTGTAGTGGCACAGTGGTTAAAGCGTTTGGCTGCCAACCAAAAGGTCAGCAGTTCAAACACACCAACTGTTTGGTGGGAGAAAGTTGAGGCAGTCTGCTTCTGCAAAGTTTTGCAGCGTTAGAAACCCTATGGGGTAGTTCTACTCTGTCCTACAGAGGTGTTTTGACTCGGAATTGCATCGGTGGCAGTGAGTTTGGTTTTGGTTTGGTTGATGTAAGTAATATCCCCTTCCCATCCCTTTTGGCAAAGGATTGAACATAAGTATAGGAGTACGAGGTTAGAGAGAAAGTCCTTCTCAAGGCATCCACTTGGGAATATATTCTGGATGGCTGTGACCTTGTGGCTTACCTGAAATGACAACTAGAGCAATAGCCATCATTGTCACCTACAAGCAAGCTGTGAAATAAGTCCTAGTCCATAAGGAGGAGCCTGAAAGGAGACAGTATAGTTGAAAGGTAATAAAATTTAAGTGTTGCAGGAGTAAATCTTATGGTTACAAGCAAGGAAGAAATGTATAAAACTGGGAATGACTAGGGTAAGTTAAATTAGTATTTTTTTAAGTTATTCATTCTTGACTTACTAAATTCATATTAATTTGAGAAATAATATCTTCTTGTTTTGGTCTAAAGACAAACTGAACCGATCAGACATAAGTTTTCATTATGAAAGTTGAAATTTACTACTGCATTTGTATCCAAGTAACATTTAAAGCAGTTCCTACAAAGCCTAATTTAGAACCAAGGGAGGCACTGACACTATTTAACCTTTTATCTATTTAAGTCTCTAAAACACATAGGAAATTGATTCTAAGATTTAAAACAAAGTTCAAAGAGTAGCATGAAACAGAGGCCACTTTGAAGAAGATTGGAATTTTAGTGTTAGTTCCTCCATATCTGAATGGTGTGAACCTAGAAATGTCCTTTACTTTCTATGAAGATGTAACTGGTAAGAAAAGATAAACATATATGTCTTCAATAGTTTATTTTAATTTAAAATAGGAAATGTAAATTAATTCACTAATACTTACATGTAGGACCAAGGTCTTTTTAAAAAATATATTGAATCCCTGGTTGTGTATTACACGATTGCTCTTCACTAAATGAGCTATGGTGATATAGTGGGTAAGACACTTGGCTGCTAACCAGAAGATCAAAGGTTCAAAACCACCAGTTGCTCTGTGGAAGGAAAATGAGGCAATCTATTTTTGTAAAGATTTGCAGCCTTGGAAACCCAATGGGGGTTGCTATGAGTTAGAGTTGACTCAATGGTAGTGGGTTTGGTTTTTTTGTTGTTGTTTAAATTAAGCCATAATTTGTCATTTTTAGGTTTTAATGTCTGTAAAATGTTTAAAAGTACTCAGGGAACGATTTTGAGTTAAGTCATTCTACATTTTCATGATTTTTCTCTACCAAGTGAGACTATCTAATTTGATTACATTTTTTAAATTACTTTTATTGAGCTTTTCCAAAGAGTACAATGTAGCTTTCATACAAATGATACTTTCTTTTTTCAGTCATATTTCATCAAATTATACAAAGTTAGTTAAGTAAATTAACAGTTACAATAAGTACCCAAATGCAAACAGCAAACGCAAACACAACCACGCCGTGGAGTTGAATCCAACTCATAGTGACCCGTCCTTGGGTTCCTGAGGTAGTATCACTATGGAAGTGGATTGCCCAACCTTCCTTCTGAGGAGTGGCTGGTGGGTTTGAACCTCCAGCCTTCTAGTTAGCAGTCAAATGCCTTAGCCACTATGCCACCAGAGCTCCTATAATAAGTACAGCAGGCATAAATAAGTTTGGGGACAAATATCAAATTCTTAGTAAACATACAGTTCAACTAAAGGGCGTAGAAGGAGTGGCTTTACTAGGTTAGCCTACAAGTTATGAATATTTAGTAGGCATTGGACATTAGTTAATATGTTTTACGAACAAAAAGAAGACAAGTAGAAAGGACCTAGACCCAGCCCACAGCTTTGAGCCAATCCCATTGGTTTCAACCTGAAGCAGAGCTACCCCAACCAAACTGAATGCATGAATGATAGTGTTCATTGCTATAGGCCACCGAGATGCTTGTAGGCATTTGTTACAATGCATTGCTGTAGCAATAGCTGATTAAGAAAAATCCTATACGAGTTCTCTTAACTGATTTTCACTTAGCCAGACACTATATTATCCTATGTCCTCATTTCTCTTTGTAAAAGTATATATATACAACTGTCCATTTCCACTAGAACCTTCCTTGTGCTATCCCTTTATATTCACATCCACTCCCAAACTCTCCTTGTACATAATGTCTAGATACCACTACCCTCTTCTCTAGCTCTATAATTTTTATTCCCTGTCAGTCTATTTGTTGGAATCAACTCATTGACAATTGACAACAATGTATATAAATGGAAACGTGCAGTATGTGACTTTTTGATATTGGCTTTTTACACTCAGCATAATGTCCTTGAGATTCATCCAGGTTGTTATACACATCAAGATAGTTCCTTTTCCTAATAATATTCTGTTGTATGGAGATGCTCTGGTGGTGCAGTGCCTAAGGCATGTGACTGCTAACCAGAAAGCTAGCAGTTCAAACCCACCAGCCACTCTTTGGAAGGAAGATTGGGCAATCTACTTCCGTAGAGATACCGCCTTGGAGACCCAAGGAGGGGTCGCTATGAGTTGAATTGACTTGAGGGCAGTGAGTTTTGTTTTGTTTTTTTTTAATGGAGATATCACAGTTCATTTGACCATTCAACCACTGAACAACATGTGGGTTATTTCCAAGTTTTGGCCTTATCTTTTCATTTTCAGGGCTTATCAAGGTGACTTGAAAATAGAAAACACACAATTCAGTTTCATTAATTTGAATTAATTGCTGGTCCACCAAAAGCTGAATCTTCTGTGCTGACACTTTCTTTGATATATACAGTGTCCCAAGGGGAAATGTCAGTTTCTCTAAAGATTTCTTGACTACAAATTATTAACTTGACTACATAGCCCTCCACTGAAATCTTAAGTTGACATTTAGCAAACATTTATACAGTTCTCTTTATATTTTAGAGTTCTAATATAATTTAAGAAATGCCTTACAAACCGAAAACTCACTGCCATTGAGTCGAACCTGACTCATAGCGGCCCATTCTTGGGTTTCCAAGACTGTATCACTACGAAAGGAGATTGTCCACCCTTCAGGTGCTGATGTTTAAACCTTGATAGATTAGGAAATGCTTCCCCTGCCAGTACCAAGGTGCGGCAGGGCTTTAGCTCCATCAAAACTTCCATCAGCATGGTTACCTCTCCCATAGAGCCAACCCAAATGAAAACAACATCAACAAAAATACAATGTGTATAATCTTTAAAAATTTTATGTCAAGTGCAAATGAAAACTGTGGTAGGTTATGTTTGTGTGTCAACTTGGCGGGGCCTGGTTGAGTGGCTGGGCAGCTGGATGTAGTATTTCCCATGATGAGACTGGTAATCAACTCCAAGGTGGAATCTACTGGAAGCAGCTGAGTAGCTGCCTTTGGGTATGTGGTCTGCTTCCTATATATAAGAAGGCTTGAGAATGGTCTTTAGCCTACAGCACACTTGGACCTTGCATACAGCCGTGTTGTTGCTCAGCAGCCTGCTATGCTCTGCCGAACTTGGAACTTCCAATGGACTTAAGTTAATGGCCTGCCATGTGGTTTGGTAACATTGGAACTGTGTGTTTTTACTTTTCAACCTTGGGCTTCTCAGTCTCAGCAGCCAGCAGCTGTCTGAGTGAAGAAACACCTCTAGCTCCAGTGGGCTGGAAGCAGGAGGCAGACCGGGACCCCAAGGTTGAGGGGCTTTCACCCAGCCCCTAGAGCCTGGCACTTTGAACTTGGACTTAAAGCCTCCAAACTGTAAGGAAATAAACTCCT